CAAGCCACACTGGTCCACCGCTCTCGATTCTACTCAGAGTTCATTTTGTTCAGATCGAGATAATAACACAGTTCTGCAACAACCGAATTACAAATGATAGCAAAACGCTGTCCAATTTAACAAGTCTTTTGCATTTATTTCAATGGTAAACTATAAAACACGTTCTTTTATTAACAAGCAAAACTAATGATTTTTTATAAAACTTGTAAACATGAGTTAATTTATATTAATAAAACATTTTTGGAAAAAGACGATTTGAGTTATAAACATTATGAAAGACAATGAAAGCAGCTTCGTGTGTTAGTCTCTTTTCCAGGTTTTGTATAGGGCTCTCTGTCACTGCCATACAAAAAAAAAGCGGATGTTGATTGTATTCGAAAACTGGAACAATCTTTTGGAAGGACAGGAAAACCGTTAAAGAGACAGGCTGCACAGGAGGCTAACGCAACATACGAAACTAGTCGACTCAGAGGGTGTCAATGGGGGTACGCAAAAGTCAGTTAACTACTAATTTTTGGGTCAAAAGTCGATTTACTACTATATTTTTGAAAAGTCAGTTAACAACTAATGTTAGATAGGCATTAACTTTTGGTCTCTTGTATGGAATGTCATTTGCATTACAAATTTCATTTATAATGCTAACATCACCAATAAACTGATTTGTGCAATCATTTTATGTATATGGGTTGTAGAATAAGTTACTTGTAGCAGTTCTGTATGCATATTTACGTAAGGATACAATGACAAATATCTGATAATAGCCTGGGTGCTCGTGAAACGTGCATCGGAGCTTGACTAYTCAAACAGTGACCGGTTAAAAGACCCAAAAAACTGTTGGACAGTAGATTTTTAACACGCAATTACAGGCGCGTAGCGTGTACGTTTTGGCTAATACCCATATGGCCGGTACCGCGAAACATATTTTGGATTGGGGGGCTAACGACCTCCGAAGGCGGAAGTATCAAAGGGGATCGGGGGATCGGGGGGGTCCTCCCCCAGGAAATTTTGAATTAACAACTATTGGAATTGCGATTTTCAGCGTTTTGAGGGGCATCGAGAGTATATAAGATGCATCAAATCCCGAAAATTTTAATATTTCCTTCCCAATAGTACGCACGTGCGTATATGCGTAAAGGACTCTACGCGCCTGTATTAAATGTTAGTAAGAAAGTCAGTTAAATATGCGATTTTCATTAGTCAGTTAACTACTATTTTTTGGCCAAAAAGTCAGTTAACTACTAATTTTAAAGCTAAAAGTCAGTTAACTATTAACCCCATTGACACCCTCGACTCACGGCCTCGAGGCTAACGCAACATACGAAACTAGTCGACGCATGGGCTCTTTTCTAGCCGCTCCAGGATTCGTTGGGAAAGAGAGCCCAGTATATTTGTATGCGCATGTRCAGAACGAGCCAATCAGATGAATAGTTGTACACGTAGCAACTTTTTGCGAGCCGCTTCAGAATTAAGGTCTTTTTTTTTGTTTATATGTTTTGTTTAATTATAGACGGTTTTTTCTGTGTTTAGATTCATTTGTGCTCATCTTGATATTTTTGTAAGTTTTCATTTCAACCTGAAGCCAGCGGTGAACGATAATAATCTTTATAATGAAATTTAGACCAAGTCAGATTCCAAGAACAAAGAATAGTGTCGACCCCCTCCCTTCCCCTCCCCTCCCCAAACACCGAGCAAAAGACTAACGTCAATTACGTTACTTTCCATCGGTCATTTTGTCAACTTGTCTAATTGCACAAGAGTTGTAACCTCGCGATCACCGCATTGACGCGGTAACTATAGACTGACCTGCGCATGCACGTTTTACTGGACTCTCCTTCCCTACGAGTTGTTGAGTGGGTCGATACTGATGCCAGGACTGGATTAGACGCAAAAGTTGTTTACTTTAAACGTGTGATTCGTTGTATTTGAAGCGGTGTAGCCCATGCATAACTGTCTCGAGCATGAACCTCCAAAACTCTCCAATAAAGAAATGTTACGTTGTGCGTTTTTTCTGATGTTTACAGAACTATCCAAGGTAAAAATATGATGTTGGTTTTGATTTGAGATGAAACATGGAAAATCAATTCCCAAAAGTGAAAATGAGAGTGCACTTCTACGTATTTGCGTGATAGACGCCACCAGATCCCCAGACATGCATTTTAGTTGACATGTTGGAGGGAGGTAGTCTCCTCGCAGCCGTTTTTAGTGGCGGGCTCCCTGTCCNACCTGGTCCCTGCGTATCACTACCAGTTTACCTGGTCCCTGCGTATCACTACCAGTTTACCTGGTCCCTGCGTATCACTACCAGTTTACCTGGTCCCTGCGTATCACTACCAGTTTACCTGGTCCCTGCGTATCACTACCAGTTTACCTGGTCCCTGCGTATCACTACCAGTTTACCTGGTCCCTGCGTATCACTACCAGTTTACCTGGTCCCTGCGTATCACTACCAGTTTACCTGGTCCCTGCGTATCACTACCAGTTTACCTGGTCCCTGCGTATCACTACCAGTTTACCTGGTCCCTGCGTATCACTACCAGTTTACCTGGTCCCTGCGTATCACTACCAGTTTACCTGGTCCCTGCGTATCACTACCAGTTTACCTGGTCCCTGCGTATCACTACCAGTTTACCTGGTCACTGCGTATCTCTGAAGTTGACTCAATCAAGCTTGAATACTTTTATCCTTCTCACTATAACCGAACACAAAATAAATAGCCATGAAAAAAGTCCATCTTTCAATTTGTGTTTGTTAAAAACAGAGCAAGAAAGAAAGACAAAAGATGGCCAGTCTCGCCCCGTGTAAGAGAATCCGGAATCCACTAAAAAAACAGCTTTGGAATCCGGAATCCCTATCCTGGAAGAATCTAGAATCCAAATATTTGGAATCCATAATCTGGAATCCAGCAAAAATTTTGATATCTAAAAAACACATAGGACATCGTCCCGCTGACGCCCCTGCGCAGGATACTGACACGCTGAATATAAAATTTTCAGGAAAAAAAMCCCTGAAAATCAGGCCATTTATTATACAGAATCCAAAACAAAAATTCTTTGGAWTCCGGAATCCCARGGCTTGAAATCCGGAATCCAATGTTTCGAAATCCGGAATCCAGCGCTTGGAATCCGGAATCCGCTAGTTCTCTGGATTCTCTTACATGGGGCGACCAGTCAAACTGAAGGCACTGTCAATTGTATTTCAAAAGTTGTTAAATGGCTTAAACTCCTTTATTTTACGACATTGTCGAAATCCCTGTGTATATCTTAAGAAAAGAAATAATTAGAATAAAATAAAATAAAAAATAAATTTAAAGGATAAAAGAAAGAAWGCTGTCGTCCTGACCAATCAAATATAAAATATGTRCAAGAACATCACTTGGACCTGCGAGAAACATGCCAATTCATCAATAATGCCCAGCTATAAAACATGAAAGCCCCATAACTTGAGACTCGCTATCACACGGCTGGGATTTATTACACAGTCGGGCTATAATTCTCAGTTTAACAATTYCAGTTGCTGCACTGTGGTGCGATTCTAAAGCGCAACTCAATTTTTAGCAGGACAAAGTTTCGTGCAGTTTTGACACCTCGAATACAATACAGATAACAGGCTGCATGGATCATGGCTGTACTATAGTCAAGATCACAACCTGTACCCTGGAATACAATACAGATAACAGGCTGCATGGATCATGGCTGTACTATAGTCAAGATAACAACCTGTACCCTGGAATACAATACAGATAACAGGCTGCATGGATCATGGCCTTACTATAGTCAAGATAACAACCTGTACAATATGAACATATCTGATGCCTGGTTGCAATGTGCATGTTTAGAGGATGAACGTGTTGTATATTACAAGAATATATTAAGTATTAGATCAAAAACGAGTGTGATTCATTAAAAGGGATTCAAATACAAAGAAACCGATGGAATCACGACAGAACGACTGCTTGCATACGGCGTTATGGAGTATTTGGAGTGCTCCGAGATAGATGTGACGATATCATATCCTATAATAGCAGTCAGGTTTCATTTAACAATCATGATTCCATCAATCCTGTTAACGTTGTTCTCCTGTAAAGATTTAAAGACAACAGCAAAGTTTTTCCATATATTAAAATTAAAAAAAAATCTTTTCAATGTCAATAACATTTAATGCGCTATATTTCTAATGTTTAAAATTGAAATTCTTCCTGGGAAGTCAAAAATGTTTTTATGCAAATGACTTTGTTATTGTCTTTGTCTTTACAACTAGAGAACGTTAATGGGTTGACTGTGTTTCTAACTGACTCCGAATTATCCTCGTGAACCCAGGCCATAATCTTCTCTCGCTCGTTCCATGGACCTTTTCTGAAATATAAAATCATAGTGCATTGTGGTCTAGCTTCAGTACAAACAACGCCATATTTTGTCGCATGAACAAAAGATGTTTGTACCGAATCTAGACCACAATGCACACTGCTATCTCAGAAAAGGCCTATGCTCCCAGATATACCTAGTTACTAACTATTTCATGAGTATCATAATGACCATTCCCTTGACTCATAATGACCATTCCCTTGACTCATAATGACCATTCCCTTGACTATAATGACCATTCCCTTGACTCATAATGACCATTCCCTTGACTCATAATGACCATTCCCTTGACTCATAATGACCATTCCCTTGACTCATAATGACCATTCCCTTGACTCATAATGACCATTCCCTTGACTCATAATGACCATTCCCTTGACTCATAATGACCATTCCCTTGACTCATAATGACCATTCCCTTGACTCATAATGACCATTCCCTTGACTCATAATGACCATTCCCTTGA